TCGGAAGAGGGTCGCGGTTCCGATTGGTCGCCATTCACTTCACGGATCTCGTTAGGTTATAACTCGCATTCGCCGTTGCTCTTTTCGATTCAGCGAGGCATGTAGAAGACGATAACGAAAGATTACCTGCCATGCTGACATCCAGGTAGTGCTACACACTTGTCGCAGAGCTCGCCATAAAAGCCCAATTTGCAACGACATTCACCTGGTCGACGGCAGTAACCCTGAAGAGGGTCGCACCCCTTCCGACAGATTGGCACGTCGCACAAATCGCCGGTCCATCCTAAGCGGGAAAAGAAGCGCCGGTTATACAAAGCGGAATCTCTGCTTGCTCTTTTCTTTTTTCATTGCACTTTTCTGCGCCAAGTCCGCGATGAATTCCATCGGGTCTTTGTTCCTTTTTTTCTCCCTTTTTTTACCTGGCAAGCACTTTACTTCGCCGGCCTCGTCGCAGACGTAGTGCGAGTTTGGATGCTGAGAGGCTGGTATCTCGCAGGCTTGCTTCTTCCATTTGGGAACGTACCTAAATGGAGTGCAGGTGAATTGTTTATGCAACTAAAAGCGCGTGATAAAAATTACCGATAATACGCGAATCGCTCGCGATTTATCGCGAACGTGACGAGAGGCGAGGTATAATCGTTATTACGTTAGTGGTTCGGTGATCGAGCGGAGTAAAGGGGTCTAAGCAGTTGCGATTAGTCGAGGCAGAGTCTTAAAATATGTAGAATAGTGGAACGAGCCGTAACAAGGGGAACAGCGAAAGATAACATCGACAACGATCCAGTAATTACGGCAACGCAACGGTGTGCTCTACCCATGTGACACGAGAACCTGGCAACACGATCTGATCTCCGATAACCGCGTATTATCTTCTATAATTAGCTCTCCGCGTTCTAATTCGAGACCCACAAGCACTCGACTCGTATCACCGCACGTTGATCGAATTAATTCCTACGCAACGCGACGAACATGCAGATTCGCGTGATCCGAGTTGCCAGAGATGATCCCCGAGACACCTCGGGGAGTTCTCGTTGAAGCGGATCTCTGGGAATCGAGCGAGAACGAAGGATTAACGATCGAGTCGCGTAAATCGGACGAAAGTATGCGTATGGACGATACCTGGGTCCGGCCGCGAGTCCAAATGGCAGCATGCCGAGTCCGAGAACCGTGGTAACGCCGACGGAGTGTCCATCGTGCAGGGTGCCCAGTTGACCGGGACCGATGAAGAGGCTGAGACAGGCGAGCAGGAGTATCATCTTTGCTTGACTTCCAAGTCAAGACTGAGGACGACCGCGTCCAAGGCTTCGGCTTGGATAACGGGACCTTGTTCGAGGTCACGGCACACTTTTTCATCGTGGCCGTACTGGTGGTGGCGCGTTCGCGGGCACGCGTGATCGTGTGGGTACGCATGTGTGACTCGTACACTTGCCAACTCCATCGTTACACAGCCGGAGAGCTCTCCCCGTTTGACTTTTTTCGTCCACTCACGACGACGAGTTTATTATTCGCTCGGGAAAGTTCAATGCACCTCTTCGACTAAGTCGGCAGGAGGCATTCCCCCTGAGAGCTCGCGTTCGCCGTTGCCACGGAAAGGAAATGGACGTCCCTGGAACTTTCTCGGGACTCGTATGCCTGCACGCGGCGCTGGAATTCGGCTAAAGTCCCCGCAGGCCGGACCCAACGTTTATTTTGTCACGACTAACAGTTCTTTCGCTCGTAATTTTTTAACAACACCGATCGAGAGATCGTTGTCCCTAATAGACGCGGTGGTCCCTGACAAGGTCCTTGCGAATCTCGCGTAACGGGAATTTTTGCGTATCCTTTTTCTCTCTGATATTCCACTCGGTAAACGAAACGTTCGATTCCCCCTCATAATCTCGCGTAAATCCATTCGATATGGGAAGACAGATCTCCTCTTCGACTTCGATGAAACAACCTACGAACCCTCGTTACTCGTCTTTAATCCGGAGACAAGGAGACGAACCGTCGACAAAAGTGGGATTTAGGATCCTAGTTACCGGTGATATTAAATGTAAGGCGCTTAACAGGAAAGGCGGGTTTTCGAGTGCTAGCCGAGTGTGATTCTTGAAACGTGGCCGCTCGTATCTCGGGATTTCTGTGTCAGGGATTTTCGAGGATCTACTCGAGAAGTGTTACTGCAAGTAATTTATTTATATTTTAAAGACTATGTACAGGTCTTGGAGCTACTATTTACAAATAAATACAGAGGATGGCACCTCGAAACGGCGTCATATTTTCTCATATCGATAGGAACTCTTTTACAGTCTGTACGTTGCGTGTTGAGCAAGGAGTTATTTAGTATCCTATTACATACAAAAATAGCTAGATCTTTTGTACATTTCCTCTACATTCCCGCTGGCCGTGATAGTCGCGGGGTCGTCACTCTCACAAAGACACGTGCACACACTTTAGAAACTATTTTACACGATACTTAAGAACAGACAGTTCTTTCGAGTTACTCGAGCTTACGTCTACACGGATATAGAATTTACATCGTTACATTAATCAAATTACGTCTCTATCTGGAGTACGAAGCGAGCATGATACGTTCGCCACTCCGATGGCGACAGGAATCCAATGAAGATTGTCCTTTCTGCTGGTTTCCTCCATCCGCCTAAAGGATTCGGCCCTGCCAGAGCGAACATGTCCCTGAGTTTGTCATCGTCGTCGACGATGCTTCATCAACGTTCGTCTATGCTCGGAGCAAAAAGTATTCGGCTTCAGACCTCTTCAGCCTCCACGGTCTTACCCTTTCTGCAGACCTTCGCCGCACCGAGAATGACTATCAAAAGAACAGCAGAACCGCAGGCAGCGTAGATATCCCAGGGATATAATTCCTCGATGGTCCTCTCTATCCTCTTAGCCTGAACGGAATTAGGCCTCGTATCCACCTCGATGGGGAAGCTACCAGGTCCGTCGTTGGAGGCGATTCTGACAAGGTATTTCGTTCCAGGCAGCAGAGAAATCTGCGCGGAATTCGAGTCTGTCACTTGATTTCCCATAAGACCACCCGTCTCGGGCTCCCAGGACACCACGTACGATTCCTTCATTCCTAAATGATCCTTGGCAATCCTATCGTTATAAGCGTTGCTCGTCGAAGGAGTGTTGTCGGCCCCGAGATCGTCCAATCGATCCTCCTTCCGCCTGAAGAAGAACCTCCGGAATATTTCGTCGGAGATTTGAGAATCCTCGTGATTCCTCCACTCCGCGAGCACTTTTTCCCCGTACTTTTCCAGGAAGAACTGTCTCACGCGATTATTGAATCTGACCTGTTCCAGGGACCTCTGTTCTTCAAGTTGAGTCTGGACATCCTTCCAGGAGACCGTCGCCTCGTACAATGGGCCCTCCTTCAAGGATTCCAGCTTTGGAACCCATTCTTGCCAACTGTAGTGCTTCACGCCGTCCTCCATCGCGACTATGATCCAGGTATCCGGCCTTAGATTCGGAGTACGCTCCCCTGGGTAATATCCAGCTACTCTCCACTGCTTGTAAAGCTTGCGCATCACTACGGCCACGTCAAATCTGTCCAGGGCGATGGGTGCCTTCTTAGGCGCTGGCAGCATCGACGGTATGTACTTCTCCTCTATTCTGGTCTTTCGGTAAGTACAGGCTGTCTGGCAGGCTGGGCACTGCAATAAAAATATCGATCATCCGATTAATCCCTCGCCAACTTTTCAACCTTTCCTCTCGAGAGATTTATCTCGAGTAACGACTGTCTCTTTTGGCTGACCTGTTCTTTAACAAAGCGCATCGAGGACACGACAATTAATGATCTCGAACGAGAAGCCTCCTTCCGTTTATCTGTGCCCCCTTTGGCCCTCGATTCGACCGCTCGTCGTAACATGGTAGTCGACCGTTGCCCAAATATTTGAAAAAGATTCCTATCTCCACGGAGGTCGATACACGGAGAGTTTAAACTCGAACGTCGCGCGACAAAGCGACCCGACCTTCCGTAAAAATCGACAGGTAGCCGTTTCTAAGGATTTTCCCAGACCTCGGGACCTCGTCGTGTCGGAACTGCCTTTATCGAAAGTTTCCTTTCTTCTTCCCTCGCCGCCGCTCGCCCTATATTTCTCGCTTTCTTCCCTCGTGGCTTTGAAATTTTCAAAGTTAACCCCGACGTAAAAGGTTTCCCTCGCGCCCGATCGATCCGAATTTTCCGCCGGTTTGATACGCTGCAGATTTCTGACGCTTCGTCGAGCAGGCCCGAGCGAAAAATTTCGGTTATCCGAGAAATTGCGATTACCGCGTTCGCGGCTGCTTACTCTCTCCGAGAGATATCGTAAATTCGAGGCATGCTAGAATTTGCCGCGGAACAGGCCAGACCACAATTTTCTCTCGACACGAGATCTCACGTGTTTCCCCTTAGCGAACAAGCTTGGCCAAGGGGCCGAAAATTCCCTTCTCCGCGAGACAACCTCCCCTAATCCAAAAGACTGCTTCACCCGTAAATTTACTTACATGTAGATACTGGTCGCCCTCGCAAATGGTTCTTGTCTTCTCCCACCGGTTCTCGAGGGCCTCGCAGTACTGCCAGCACTGTAACACAGGAGAGAGAAAAAAACGTACACACGTGAAAGAAGCGAGCGTGGCAGGGGGAGGTTTCAGCGTTGAACAAAAAGCTCTTGCACGCACGGGACGCACGGGTAAAAAGGAACGATGGCACACGAGGGGGATGAAGAGGGACGACGCGACGAAGAAACGCGAAGAAGGAAAGGGAAAATAAGAACCATCGGCCGGACCGTTGAATCGAGCGATTTAAGCGGCCATGGAGAGGACCAAGGGAGGAAGAAGGTGCAGCCAGAAAGAGAAGAAAAAGGAAGAACGCGGATAGGAGGAGGACGAAGAGGGAGAGAAAGAGAGACAGAGGAGAGGGGGGCCGAATTAGCTCCAACCTGTTTCAGGCATAACAGGCACCGTCGTTGTTGTCTTCATATTTATTGGGATACCGTCTCTCGTGGAGCCCTGTTTCCAGATTCTTTTTTTCCTCTCCTCCCTTGGAGAGAAAAAGAGAGAGACCCCTGCGCTTTGCCCTCCCTCCCCGATTATCCTACATCACGATGTGTTCCTTCTAAGCCTGGCTGCTTCGTAGAAACGCTGTAGGTCCCCTTTCTTCGTGCTAAAGACGCTTCCAAAAAAGCAACATCAGCATCCTCTAACAGCACCGCGATAATTCCCTCGGACCGTTTCTCCTTTCCTCGCCGGTTTTTACTTCGTTCGCGTAAACGAGGCCAGAAAGAGATACCGTTGGGTATCTATCTACCGTGTACCAACGAAGGAAGAAAGTGGATGAAATTAGAAGAAGAAGAAGGCTGGAAATAGCACCGAGGCTCCCGCAATGTTTCACGAGACGAGGAAAAGTGAATCGTCTGGTCGATGTTGCGTAAACCGAAGCGAATCCGCGGAAGATAAAACGTTTGTATCGCTTCCCGACGCCACGGTCATTGATTTCCCGAACGAGGGGATGCGGCGTTTACGACCCTCCACCGATCGTAATTCGATAACGGCGCGATCATCCTCGCATTCGACGAGATTTGATGGAACGATCGACGCCTCTGACGTTTGCTCCGCCACATTCCTCGGCCACGAATCCAGCCAGCCATCGCGATTACCATCGCCGGAACGACTGCGATTAAACACGCGATTCCGCGATCGCAACGACTCCTCGCCGGTGTAATTACGCGATATCGTCCGCTGCGATCGTTAATCATCTTCGACGTTTTCCAAGAAAATCGCGCACTCGCCGCGCGTGCAGCTCGAAGCTTTCGGTTGCGCGATTCCGCTTTGAGCGCGACACTGTCGAGCGAGTTACGCGAGCATCGCGAACATCAAAGGCTGCCGGAGACCGCGCGGTGTTTCGGAGCGTGTGGAGCCGAACCTGTCGACGATTTAAAAACGCTGTCCCCTCGTTTCCGATCGGTCGATCACGCAGCATCCCCTTCACGGCCGATTGTCCGGAGTAAAACAATTACCGATGGCGAAAAGGGCGGTTGAAGGTTTCAAAGCTAGCGCGACGATTCCCCACGCAGACATAGTCGTCATTATCCGAACGTAATTCTCTCCGAGGGGGGTTCGTCGCGCGCGACCTTCATTAAGCCACCTCCGCGCGACCGCCTCCTCGGAGAATCGTTATTCTAATGTGTCCTAGGGAAACTATCCTCGAGGACTCTCCCTTTCCGAGCATAAATTTGAATGGATCACCGACAGCCCCCTCTCGACCCGGGTCCACGCCACGCATCCTCGATAATGCTCCACGCGCGGACTACACGCGTGTGTACGCGTGTCTTCTTATTCACACGCAGTCACGGGGCCTTGCCGTGGGTGTGCACGGGTGAGATGGCATCGATTTCTCTGAAATTAATGGACACCCCCTGTACACCAAATGAGCAACGCCCCGAGCACACAGGCGCACGCTCGCCGCATTGTGCGTGAGTTAATCGTGATTCCCATCTGTCCATCTGCAACGTGTCTCGCCCGAACAGGGGTGCCTCTAAGGGTGGGGTACGCCGTGGACCACCATGATTTTCCACGACGCCCCGTAAAACCGACGAGGAAGATTTATCGTCGCACCGTGTCGCTGCCACGACCCTATCGGATTTCCAGACGATCGAATCGTCACCTAGCGTGCTCGTACGCGCCTGATTTCGTCCCGATACGATATTCCCGGGTATTTTCGAAACACCTTCGGAGATTGTTTATCGTGCGCCCGAAGCTTGAAGCGGAGCAACGGTTCGAACGGGAACTGTTGATTTTTCGGGGGAATTCTCGAGCAGAGGACGTGCTGTTCGCCTCGATGGAACAGGGACTCTGGGTGACTGGGAAAGAGGGTCACGTTAAAGTTGGAGGTATCGCGTTGGGTGCACGAGCAGCTCGGAAATTTCGTGAACAACTCCGGCCGATTCTATTTGAGACGAGGAGAATGGAACGGAGGGAAAACTCGGTCATACAGAGCGTAGAATTCGTGATACTTTCGAAGCTTTGCGTAGTAACGGTACGCTCGAGAAAATCGACGATACGTGCTGACCTTAAAGAAATCTGTAACGATTTAAGGTTTCGAAGGATCCCGAGGATAAGTAGATCGTAAATTCTATTCACCGTGCTACAATTGGTCTGCTCCTGCTCCGAGTACCAATCGCAGGTCCCATCAGCTGTATGCTTCCTCAAACATTGCGATCTACACTGAGCGATCCTGACGATCGGTCCGAGATCGAATCCGGTAACCATCGTTGCGCACAGGACGAGTACAAGGATCCACGGAATCTCCATGCTCGATAAAGATCACACTGCTTTCGCAACGTATGTTCACTCACTGATCGTTCACTTGTCGTTTCAACGTTCACCGTTGTCTCTCGGAGGAATCACTCGATTACGGTTCTACGGAAACTATGAAAGGTTTAATTCGTACGACGAATCGCGACTAAGCACCGTAAATGCAGCGTGTTGTCGGTGAGCAACGGGCAGAGGAGTAGGTTCCTGTACCACCGAAATTTCGAGCCGACTGCGACCCTTCGGAGGTCGGTACCTTCCTTATGTAGCCACGCGCCCCACCATTGAATTTTAGCTCGCCCCTACCCCTTAAAGGCAGCGTAGCATCCCTTGTAATTATCCGTGGGCTGGAACCGTCCCTCGGCATATGGTCGACCATACTGCATCACCGTCCTTCTGCCCGAATTATTTCGCTGGCAAAGAAGTAGGCCAAACTGCGAAAGGAGTCGCAAATTTTCCTTTCGGCGAAACCCTTTGATCATTCCGTCGCAATTTTTTTTTTTCCTCCCCCAAGTCTCGAGTTTAAGGGTAGATAAGGTAAGGAAATTAATTATAGGGTACAATCTTTTCTCCAACGTGGACTTAATCGCTCGGTAAAAATGCGAGTCCTTTTTATTTCAGGCTTGAGGAAGTCTGTTTATCCAGGCGATAAAATTTGAATGGAAGATCCCTGATATATCGTAATTATGGAAATGATGTTCCACCCTAGCAAACGCGCGATTAACATCGATTCGCATTCCTCTGGTATGCTCTGCACGCAATCTGTCGTCGCGAATATTATCTCGGCAGAGAGCCACCCTCGCGTTACAATCGCGTTGCGTTTCACTGTAATTATCCACGTGCCGTATGGTCGCCGGCATATGGTCCAGAACGCCATCCTACTTTGCTGGAATCTCCGTCGTTGCGCCCGAGGAGGAGGGAGAGAAGAAGAGGAAGATTACTCCGAAATTGACTGCTCGTGGAACAAATTAAATTTCGTCTTCGGTCGATCGTGAAATCGCGTCTCTTTGTGACGTACCGATGGACGCGTTCTTTCATATCCCTCGGCGCTATTCGCAATTTCCGTCGGAAATATAACGTCTCCGCTGGAACGTAATTTCGAAAAGTCTCGGTGCTCGACGAGCCAAAATTTCCTCGCGCGGTAACCCGAGTCCACGCGTGAAATTCTATACGAGCAAACGTTTTCTCAGAAAACTTCCTTCTCGTCCCGAAGCGATCGCTATTAGAATCCGCTTCCGGCCACCGATAATCCCCGGACAGGAACCTCCGAAAACCAAAGGCGTTTTTGGCTGCAGGGGAAACAGATAATCGTCGGTCGCAGGAACGAGAGAAAGGCCTAGCCGCCCCTTTGGAGATCCTCGCGATGTGCGGGAAAATTTGGCAGCAATTAGCCGGCATCCGTCCGAGCAGCGGGCACGACGACGTTCAGTCCCTTCCTGGTTCTCTGTCCAGTGTTCGTGTACGAGGGTGAAGGGGCGGAGAGGAAGAAATCGGTGTCGGATGATCGCGATTCGAGGGATGCGCATTATCAAAGGTCTCTCGTAGCACGATCCAATATGGTTTTCATCCGGCAGGTACACGATCTCGTCCCACCCACCACCTCCGCTCGGCGAATATAAAAGGAACAAGAAATAGAACGCGAAGGAAGAGGCGGAGAAGGAGCGGCGGGGACACGCGGGGTCGACCGATAAAGAGCAGAGAGAGGAGGAGAGAGAGAGAGAGAGAGAGAGAAGAAGAGACGAAGAGGGAACGAGAGATGGAGGAGAAAAGAAAAGGAGGTGGAACATATTCACCGGAAGTCGTTCGTGCTCCCTGGGTGCCCCGCGATACACGTCACAATGCACAGGATGTGTACAAATAAGGGTATTTGTCTGGCAGCCCGATTGTGGGGTGAAATATACGATGACGTTAAACGGGCCCAAGTTGCATCCCTCGCGCGCGAGTTCGTCTGTGAAACACTCTGATCCGCGCGCTCGCTCGTTTGTGCCGGTTGCCAATAGAAAAAGGCCCACGAATAGAGGAGCCATTCATCTAGGCACCGTTTAGGGGTGGCGCTCGGCCGACGGATCGTTCCTTCAATGGCGAGTGACATTTTATTGTGCTACGGGCTTTTCTCACACCTGGACCGACGCGATCTCGTCGCGACCGATGCTTCCATGATTTTACTATTCCACCAGTGGCTACCGGCCCTCGTCGCACGTGAAATCGTTTCCAATGGCACGCCGACGTTCTCTTCGACTCGATTACGCCTTCCATCGGTACATGCTCGGAATGAGCCACGGTATCGACGTGTACAAGGACGATTTCATTTCGAAACGGTGATTTAATGCTCGGAGAGGAAAATTTAATCCGTATCTTGCCCGTATCGCTGCAATCAAATATTTATCGTCGATTACAGATGCGCAGCGACGAGTGGTCGATGGCAAACATATCCGGCACGCGCCACGCGTCGTTCCAGAGCCTCGTTTAAAGCTTTCGCACCGTAACCGATCCGGGGGAATAATCCCGAGGGAATTCGAAGCAGCTTCCCGAATGACCGTCGCTGTTTTTGTACTCTCGTTCGTGGAGAAAATTCGGCACGCGACGCAGTCTCGGGATCCGAACTTCTCGTTAACTCGAGGGTGTCATCGAATCGCGTAATGGAAACGTCAAAAGTTCATAGCGGGGTTCTTTCAATAAGAATAATGTTCCTCCACACCCTTCCTCGTGCATCAACGTGCTTCGACGCTGCCATCCACCCCCCGAAATCGCCAACCCTCGTTCCCGCCGAAGCAGGATGCGAGTAAATAATTTTTCGTCGCATTACACCGACTGGGAACTACGAGAACGGAAATACGTACGTTCCCGAGGATTTTCGCGTTAATGGACCACTGACCACGTCCGGACGCGTCCGTTTGGCACCGGTGGGATTGTTTGCGCCCCACACTCGCCAACCCCGAAATCAAACCGACGCGAAGATTTTTCACCGACGCCATAGGTGTTAGATGTTTTCGTAGGATCCGTAAGCCGGGGCCGTCTCTTTCAACATTCCTTTCCCTAATCTCGGTCCACGACCCGACCTTTTCCAACCGACCGACTATCGTCGCGTAACATCTTCCGCACGATTTCTTTCTCCACGCTCGCGTCGCGTCGCGAGCATTGTTTGTCGCCCATAATCCCCCGCGTGAAGGATTACGTGAGTCTCGATTTTCCGTAAGATTGCGCGATCCAGCCCGAACGCGACGTCTCCTAGTCGCCTTACAAACGAAATTCGAATCGATGCCGCAGACACGACCCCGTGCATTCGTAATGGTCAAGCTTCCAGATCTTATCCGCGCGTCTATCGTCGAGTTTCGTGAAAAGCCGCTTTTTCCTTTCACCTACAGTTACAGAAACAGTCTAACGGGCCTGGCGTGAATAGCGGTCCCTTTTCGAGTGTGTCCTGTTTGAAAAGGAAATTGTAATTTTTAATGGGATACAATGGAAAATTATAGTCGCATTACCGAGCGTGGTCCAGGCGTTACAATGGTGTGCCGAAGTGCGAACGCGTTGGAAGGGAACGAAAGAGCATGGCGTGCAACAAAAGAAGTTTGCCTATCGGATTGTAAAACGGCCGGGCGCGTGAAGTTAAACCCGAGGCTTATCTGTCCTGGAAAAATATCGCGCTTCGTTTCGCTCGGCTTACTTCGCTCTTAATCCCCGCATATGCTAGGGGAAATATTTTTCTCAAATATTATTTCAACGCATCCCTGCTTGCTCTTCCTCCCCGTAAGCCTGCTAACGATTCCGTCCAAGCAGACGCGTCGATCATCCATGCTGCGCGAGCAATCTCTCGATCTTCCGATAACCGCGAAATCGCGAGGAATTATCCCGAAGGGACACCTTGCGTCTCCTCTACCTTTCCACGGTGTCCCGAAAAATCGCGTTTTACCAGCTAACGGACGCGACAGGGCAGAAAATTTTGGGCCGATTCTTTGTTCCGCTTCCACGAGCGTCGGCTCGGTCCCGGAGAAGGCGCTTTGAAAGCCAGTTTTCGCGTCAAATATGCTGGCGACAAATTTTTATTGTCATCGGGCCGACATTAGCGACGGCTTTCCCCGCCACACCGGCTGCCAGGCAGAATAAGGAGAGAAGGAAGAAGAGATTTCTTCAAACGAGTCCCCTGAGAGGACAGGTGGTAACCAGAGGATCTCCGAATCGCTATTGAACATTTAGCCTCCTACCTTACCTGTGCAGAGGCTAGGTATCCACCAATATGTTACCCTGACAAATTCTGGAAACCGAAATTTATAACCCTGGACCGCTACTCTGTCCTGCGAGTCCTTCGGGTGTCTCCATTTTGCCTCGCGTCGCTGAGATTTGGATAAAATTTCGAGGACGATGTCCGAGACTGATCTCAACGTCACGATGAAAACGGGAAGCAATTAAAAATGCCACGCGGATATAACGTCTACTTGGCATCCAATTTCTCCTTTTCCCTCCCATCGAATTAACAACGTCACCCTTGCCGTCGTTTTCGGGCAAACAGCCGCTGAGAAACCAGTCAGCAGCGCGTTATCCGAGCAATTAGGGGCTCGAAACGCCCTCGACGCGGCACGGGCGAAAATTTTTTTCCCTCCGTACCCTTCGTAAATCACGTGAAACTCGACGTTGTCGCTCGGTTTTACGACGGCCGTAACTTGGAATTGGAATTTTCGGATTGATTTAGGGCCAACGGAGGTGAGCGAAAGGCGCCACCAATTGTGCGACCCCCCTCGATTCATTGTAAATCAATGGTTTTTCGTTCGGAAGCGGTTAGAAGCTGAGTCCTTGCTTAGAATGCGACGCCACGGTAACCGCTTCTTCGGTTTGCCTCGTCAACGGCACGGTGGCAATTACCTAATTTACTGCGGCTGACTTTCGGCCCGGGTGAAAACTGCGGTCCGACCGCCATTTCTTGCTGTCTCATCCCGACCAAGGTTCCGTTGCCGAATCGCTCGCGAGGATTTCCAGCACTTCTGCGACAGGAAATCTTCGAAGCT